TCCCCCCGCCCCCCCCCCCTTTTCTTAAATTAATTGTCTAGTAGCATGTTTATAGTGCACTGGATTTCACAGTTTGAAGTAAAAGATCACATCTACATGGATTAACAAAACACCACATATCCTGCTGTTGTGGAGTGTAACCAATCCCCCTTGCCCCAGAATTACGCTACAGAACCAGTGCTTTTGTTTTTATAGTACTTTCTTACCCTCACAGCAGTGCTGGCACGTTTTTTTGAGGCTAACCAATTTCTTGCTGTCTCCCTGAAGTAACAGCTGCTGAAAGCGAGAACTGACTGCTTCAATCAATAAAGGTCAAGTTTGATCATTTCCCTAGCCCTGTTGTTAGCCTTTTAGCTTGCTGTACATTTTAATAGAAATCCTATGAACATACTTGCACTACAGTTCAAATGATCTTTCCCATCTCCACAAGTGCTGTTACTAGTTCAGCAGCAAAGGTTAGGTCTCTAGAAAACTAGTCTTCTACATTCAGATTTTATAATGGGAGACACGCTGTCTTTGACTGATGACTGTGCTGGTGGAAATCACTTTTCTATAGCTACAGTTACACGAGGAAAAAAAGAAAAAAACCCCACAAAACTGCAACCGCTTTTTACCCAACAGTTCGACTCACTTTTGGTGGTGATAATGAAACACACTGATTCAATCTCACCTTCAGGACTTTGCAATTTTAACACAACACTGTGCTCACCCAGATGAAAAACTCCTGCCAGGGGCACGTGTGGCGAAAGCTCTCCCCTTCCTTCCCGACAGCTGCGGTGGTGTCCGGCACCGCCAACATCAAACCTTGCACCCTGTCCAACTGCAAACACGAGGATAACTTTTATGGGATGTTAATAAACAGAAGCTACGGAAGTGATGCGTTACTTCCCTAGCTCCTTTGTCAGAGCAGTCTCCAGGGCACTGCGGGGGCCGTGCCAGCCCTCCATGCCCCTCCGAGCCCGGGGCAGCGCGGCTCGCTCGCCGCCCGAAACCAAAGGCCCGTGGAAACGGCCACGCCAGAGCCTGAAGGGCAACGCTTCAGGAGCCAGCACGGGTCTGCTTCCACTGCCACTGGGAAGCCAGCTGGGGGTTGTTATTTTTCATCTCACCAGCAGAAAACAGGAAAGCGTGCTCATCAGCTTCTCGGACTACTGCTTTGGCTGCTTTGTTACAGCGCTACAGGGTCCGAGATGCTTCTAAGCAAACTTTAAGAAACATCATAGAAGCTCCAGCCAAATACACTATAAATCATGTGTACTGCTCTCCCCGGGCTACTGGGATCACACCAAGTGAGTCCCTTTGTTATCCTTCCCTTCAGCATACAACACACCTACATTTATTACTATGAATGGCAGTAAGCAGTAGTATTCTAGTGAGTTTACACTGTGGCGGCAATTCTGAGAATATCAGATCAAGAAATATGCTTGGCTTTCAGTTTTTCCAGAGCTATGTTAGATAGCCACAAAAGTTTCTCACCCACTTACCAGTTATCATAGTGAAGCCAGCCACAACGAATAGTGATCATTTGCTTAATGAGAACAAAAGACAGCTTGGTTTTTAATAAACTGAAAACTAACTCCCCCACAACACCTGAGAGACAAAAAGGAAGACCCAAGTCATCTTATGTATGACTGACTTAATAGCTACGATAAATATACAGAAACAAAATTGTTCATTTGGCAACCTGACAACTTTCATCTAAAGCTGGGTGACAGCTAACAACACTTTGTTTTAAGGACTCTCTTTCAAATAAAACTGTGCATTTTGTAAACAGTACTGCAGGAGCAATACATACAGTTTAAACTCAGTAATCATCCAAAATCGTTTAATTTTATCCCCGAGTTGTGAAGAGTCAAGAAAGGATTAGGTTTTTAATTAGTTAGCAGAATACTACTGCTAACTCCCAGCTGTTCGTAAGAGAGCTCCAGGATCCAGAAGTAGGGGGGGGAGGGAGGGAGGCAGACAGGGATAATTCCTAAAATATTTCTCCATTGCAACAAGTCTAAACAGCTTCGTAATATCAAACGGTGCTCATTTCTCAGAAAATTAAGAATTTAAGGTCAGCTTCAAAGGCCAGTTATTTTCACCAACAAGCAGAACCAAGTTTAGGCTCAACAGCAACCCATCTCCAATATTTTTCCTCTTTATTTGCATCATTATTAAACTGCTGATCTATTCAGTAAAAATAGATAAAGGGTATTTAAGCACAAAAAAAAAAAAAAAAGAAGAAAAAGTGAAAGGAATCCCTTTACTCTGATACTTCTTTCATGCATGCTCTCTGAATTGATGCTTTTGTAACAGCAGATCCAGTGCTCCTTTTCAGAAAAATATAACTGAGCAGTTGCAGACTTATGTCTCATTTTTGAAGCTCCCTTTTCTCCATGCTTTCCCCCCCCCATCACGTTCTTTTTGTTAAAGGAAAGAGAAACTTTTAAAGAAAGATGAAGAAATTCACATATCCCAGCATCTATTTCACATGTAAGACTGATGTCTTTCCTATAGGTGCCAACCATATTTCTGTTTCATGGTAACAAGGCCCTGAAAATGCCAGAATTCTGCTCTAGTCACCCAAGATGCCCAGCCAAGTCTTTATACTCAACAGATTACCATGCATCAGTCTTAACACACAAAATGCCATTGATAAAGGGAGCCCCAGGCAATTTATTTCACTGGCGCTTGCATATTATTTCAACTCTAAGACATGACAGGCAGTGCTTTTCTTGGCAGCTGCAGTAGGACTGGTATTTCAAAGCTTTGAAGCCAGAGGTCAAAATTTTAGCCACTGAAGAAGTCAAAAAACTCCTCCAAAGCAAAAAATCTGTGTCTCACTACTACCACGAAGCGGAATGCAGAAAAAACTAAGGCAATTATTAAACAGTGTAAATAACAATTCACAGAGTCAATAAGGTCTGAAGATGTTCTAAACTTATTAAAGTACCACCACTGAAGCACACCACAGGAGTCAGATCTAGCCGCAAAGCTTGCTACCCAACCCTGTGGCTCACGCTAACATCTGTCCAGTGAAAATCCCTCCCACCTCCAAACAACTGACAAAGCTAATCCTTCAAACAAGTGTATCTTAATACAAAATACACTGCTTATCTATATCCGGCACTTTCAAAGTGAGCGCCTCTGTCTCAGCTGACAAGTTGAATGCCAGCTCTGAGCTTGACATGATGTATTAAAAAAAGTCAAATTATCTCATTACAAAAGTTTTTAACGAAAACATAGTTGAATACAAATGAGCATACCTCTGCAGGATACCCCTGTGACAAATCGAGTCTTTGTCACTGAATGAATGACACATTTGATTAAAGAATTTTCCCCAAGCAAAAATAATTTCACCCGCACACCAGTCACGTTTTTTCAAATGCAAGCAATTTCCTTTAATCCTTAAAAGCCTGCGTGCAACGCATAGTTATTACACAGAGCTGCAACCGCTTCCAAACAGGACTGGATTATGATTTATCATACTGGAAATCATCTTTCTCCACTAGCTGTCCTCTGGATTTCTATAGAATTAGGCACTTGATCCAATTATTTTCCAAAGAAGAAGGTCTGAAAAACAAATAGCTTAACAAAAAATCCCAAGAAGAACACTGCTCAGAGTGTGCATTTCATGTATACGCTATGCCACGGGTGGGTCCAAGGAAGGCAAACGATTTTGAAGAGCCAGCTACCACAAAGCATAAAAGTTGGCAAGAAATGGGTGCTAAATTCCTATCTGAAGCGTGAGAGAGAGGGTGTGAAGGGAGGAGAGACATCTACAGCTCCCGACACAGTGTCTGTGCCCTGTTGGAAAGGATGACATTTTCACATGAGCACTCAGGTCTTTCCCAGCACCACTTTACCAACATCACACCTCGCAAACACTGTTCAACACGGTGATGCGCACGGGCTTTAAGAGGAACAAAAGACTGGGAATGCAGAGCAATAAATCACGTTGAATATTGCATTTTAAACAGGGGCAATTTATGAAAAGAACAATAACGGCTGGCGACTCTGTTAATCAGTTCTCCCTTCACAACTAAGGCATTCGGCAGCACGCTGCTCTCTGGGTTGGTGCTAACGGTATGCGGTTATGATATGGTGATGCGTATGGTCCATCTCCCTGCAGCTTCCAGAGTGCATATAATATGCATATATATATATATATATATACACACACACACACACACACACACAGAGGTATTGCAGCACCTCCGGGCTTCGTGGCCACACGCCGGGCCCCCGGGGCGGCTGAGGGCTTGCGGAGCTCCCCGCGGCCCCGCAGCAGGCTCCAGGCTGGGGCGGGGGGAGCAGACGGGGGTCCGGGCACGGCCCCCGGCCGCCCCTCAGCCCGCGGGGCCGGCAGCCGAGGGGCGAGCAGCCCCGGCCCGGCGGGGCCAGCCTGTCAGGGCTCGGGGCGAGCGGAGACACCTGCGCGGCGACTCCCCAGCCGGGGCACCCCCGGCCGCGGCTCCCCCCCCCCCCGCCCGGCCCCGGGCAGCCCACCCAAAACCCGGAGGGAATCCCGCCCCCCCCCCACGCCATAACAACCGCCTCCCCCGCACCAGCGCCGGGCACCGCTGCCGGCACCGGCCGCCCCGCAGGGCGTGGGGGGAGAGACCCGGCGGTAGCGACCGCGGCCCCCGCCCGCCGCCCTGCGCTCACCGCCCGCCGGGCTCCCGCCTCACCGCGCCGCTCCCGCCGCTGCCCCGGCAGCACAATATGGCGAGCGGCAGCCTCCGCAATGGAGCTCGGGAAAGAGAGGGGAGTTACATATTCATGGCCGGGGCTGGGCAGGGGGAGCGCGGATGGGGCTGCCGAGACCGGGCCGCCCAGCGCTCTCCTCCCCCTCCTTCCCCGCCGGGGCGCGGCGGCGGCCGGGGGCCGCTCGCTCCTTTCCCCGCCTTCCCCGCACCTCCGCCCGGCTCCCCGCCGCCTGTCAGCGCCGCGCTCCCCTTCCCCCCCCCCCGCCGCTGGTCCCGGGCGATGCGGGGCTCCCCGCCGCCTCTCACCTCAGCCCGGCGCTAAGCCCTCCGGCCGGCGGGAGGGCCGCGCTCCCTTGAGGGAAAGCCGCGGGCGGGCGATCGGCGCGATCTCGTGTTTTCCCCCCGAGCCTCCCGCTGCCTGCCCGGGTGCCTCCGTGACGGGCGGGACGGCGGCGGTGTCCGCGCTGACCCCCGGCAGCCGCCGATGCGCCTCATCGCCGGGAGCAGCCGCGGCGTGAGGTTGTTAAATGGTCTGTGGGGAAGAGCCAGCACCACACGCGCGGCCTGCGGCTGGCCATTGCTGCGCTTTTCTCCCGTGACATTCCCCCTTGAACCCCGCGGCTCTTGCTCTCGGCCCCTCTCGGGGGAAAGGGACGCGCCTGCCATTTGTAGGCCGTGAGGCGAAGCGGGACGCGCGGGCAGGCGTGGGCCGGCAGGCTGGGCAGCATGGCGCCCAGCCCTCAGCGAGGCCCCGCGGCCCGCTGCTCAGCCAGCGCTCGGAAGACGAGGCACAGCTCGGTGTGCTCCAGTTTTAAGTCACGAAAATGCACGTCGGGGATCCCCAAGCGTCCCCAGCCCGCTCTGCAGCCGTAACGTGAAATGAGCGGTTTGTCTTCCGCTGTCTGCATTTTAATGTTTGTTAAATCAAGATACTTCTTATGAGCGTTGAGTCTCCAGTGGTGCCTTTATCGGTCTTGTCATTAACTGGTTTATAGAGAAAGCAAGACAGGGCGCTTTGAGTAATTAAATCTGGTGCGAGTAAAAAGTGAAGAGAGATCACCTTGTGAGACGTAAATTTGAATTAATACTTCCATCTTTAATGATGCAGCAACATCATTTAAGACTATTCAATATGGAGTATTTAAAGCAATTCAATATGGAGTATTTTAAGTTTTCCTAGAGTTTTACAGTTAATATTCTTGGAATATTAAAGTCCCGGTTTAGACTTATTTCCTCTTTGCAAAACTTCACGTATTTTTAAGAAATTCTAGCTTATGCCAGGTTATTCCTGGTTGTTCTAAGTACCTATTTTTATGTAGTAGCTTTCACTCCCCCACACTCCTTATGACCTACACCGCAGCCTATATAATTAAATCCTCACAAGAGCTTGATAAGGTAGTCAGCAATAACATCTCTGTTTCCTAAGTGTGATCAAATGTCTCAGCTAAATCTCAGAGGGAGTCAACTGGGGACAGGATTTAACAGACCTTTTTTGTTCTTGACTAGTGTTTTTTTAAAGAACTATTTTTCTTAAGTGGGTTGTGTTGAGCTCTTTAAATGTTAAAGCTCAAAAACTGGTAGAGAACAGAAAAAGAGATTCTGTTAAGTTCCTCTCTTTTGAATGACACTAGTCAGAATTAATGACTGAAATTTTCCTGATTTTTTAGCTGTTTGTCAGTGCCAAGGAAAGGAAGACTTTGTCTGTGAAACTGTTCCTGTACCAGGAATTGTCCTTTGCTGAAAATTGCTTCGCTTGTTAATTGTCTAATTGCAGTTCTACCATGAGTGAAGAAGCTCCTATGTTAACGTACCACGGTTAGTAAAATTTTTTCGAGATGAAGAAAGCTACATGTGTATTAGGTCATTGAATGTTGCAAAACCAAGATTTACAAAATGAAAGTATGTAAGGAAGACAGATCTCCAAAGGCAGAGGGAGTGCAAGGTGAGTTAGAAGTATCTGGTAAAATGCAAAACTATACAGTGGCATGTAAATGAACAAACTATAAACGTTTTAAGACCATTTTTCTGAAAGGGAGGCAAAAAGAAACACCGGTAAGTTGTGCTAGCGGTGTCCAACTCACCGTATTTCTAAGTATATTTGTTTGATATTGGTTTGTATTTCCTGTATTTACCATTTAATAGTAGCACCATGGATCTTCTCTGCAATGTAGTGTTCTTGCTACTTTTAAGGATGTAAAAAAAGGCCACCGAATACTTTTCAAGTGCAGGCTGTCAGTCTGCCAAGACATCAAGATGAGGAAGGTTTCCTGTTCGGGGTACAAATGGGGAGCAGATGCACAGTTACGCTCCGTGCCAGGTACCTTGCTCGGTGTAGGAGCCAGGACACTACTGCCTTTGGGGTAATAGCCCTGGGGCCAGCATCCTGGGTGGAACAAACTGGGGCATGGCCAGGAGATCAAGGGGGAGGTTAGTCACTTCTTCTGCTCAGCACTCCTTAGAGCGCATCCGGATACCCTGGCTGGTTTTGGGGGTTTGGGCTCCTGGTACGGGAGAGGCATTGTCAAACTGGATGCAAGGTCAGGGAGGCCCCCAGGGTGGTTGGGGCCGGAGCACTCGCCCCGAGAGGAGAGGCCACGAGAGTGGGGCTTGGTCAGGCTTTGAGGGCCCTACACCATCCAACCCCTTCCTGTGGGGTTACTGAGAATATGGAGCCGGACTTTTCTCAGTGTTGCAAAGGAGCAAGGTGAGAGGTGGCCATAAACTGAGACAGGAAAGGTTTGGACTGATTGCAGGGAAAACCTGTTCCCCATGAGGACACTCGAGCAGCAGCACAGTTTGCCCAGAGAGGTTGTGCCATCTCCATTCCTGGAGGTTTTCCAAACCCATCTCGTTAGAGCCCTGAGCAACCTGGTCTGACCCCAGAGCTGACCTGCTTTGAGCGGGAGGTTGGACAGGGACCTCCTGAGTTTGCCTCCAGCCCATGTTACCCCATCGCTCTGTGATTCTGCACTCACAGTGCAGACAAGAAATCCTGGAATATGGATATACTGTATTTCAGACCTTTGCATTTGTGAGCATTTTTGTTCTTTGCAGCTTTCTCTGCAGCAAGTAGAAAAACTATGCAGTATGATAGCTGAAAAAGCTTTCATCAGCTCGTGGTTTCCACTGTTCCTGGCAGCAGCAAAATAATAGTAAAGAAAATTACTCCAGTCAACTGAGACATGCTGTTTCCATGTCCTCCTTCCAGGTAAAATATTTATTACCTCTTAAAGTGATTGAAGGTCACCCATTCACTGCCTTTTAGAAACCAGTATACAGAGAGAAGAAAAAGGAAAATAAAAGTGCTCCCATTTTAAAAGTCTGGAGGCAGGGAAGTGTAAATAATACACAAAAGGTGAGAGAAGGTAGGAAGAAATGACCATTTTGGTGCGTTACTCTGCTGTGGTACATTAAAGAAAGATGAGCATATAAATAAATGATAGCAAGGGCAAAATAAATGGGCAGTGGATTGGCAAGATGAGGTGAGGTAATTGGTCGTGTCCCAGGTAGGCTGAGAGACTTGTCTGCCCTAGCATTAGTAAAATGCTCAACCCTTTTTCCCATGCTGGCTGTCCCTGTCAAACAGAGCAGGAGAGATTTCGGAGGCATTTACCCCTTCTGCAGGTTACAAGGTGTACACAAAGCAGCCTTCCTTAGGATTAAATTGCGTACAAGCGAGGCAGGAGGAAAAGGCACAGAGGTTGTTCTTCTGAACCAACGTTGGCTCAGAATTGATGGGTTTCCTGCAATTTAAGATTTAGGTTCTTTAAAGCAGAGGCAAGCAAGCTGTGTGATCTTTAATGAAAAATGCTCAATATTATGAATGGGAAAGGAGGGAAATTAAACCAGATTGCTCAGCACAGATAGTAATGTGGCAGCTCACATTCTAGAGGAAGTTCAGAATACAAGAAAACCCTCTGCATACTTGCATGTGATGCTAGTGTTTATTCCAGCTTCTAAACTAAACTAAAATGCCTTAACAAGAAATCTTTGCTTGACAATAGTGTCTTGAACTTTCAGGCGCTGTTGGCACAGGAAGACTGACTGCTGTGTGACATTGCCGCAGTGTGGCTGTAACGGCGGTGTCCCTCTTCCTCTTGCTAGAGCTGTAATGGTCTGGGGAAGATATCCAGTGGCAAACCAGAGGAAGAGCCCTTTTCTGGATCATAAGGGAGCTGCCAAAAGGTATGGTAAAGACAGGAATTAAGGCCTTCCATCAAGTAATAGTTCGTTTTCATGAAGGCATCGTGTTTGAAGTAGGGTTCTTTGGCTGTAGCTGGGTTTACTAGATCCAGAGTAATCAGTGGTAGAGGGTACCTTTCATGCCAAGGCAGAAGTTAGGTCACTTTATGCAATATTCAACTGGACATCTTGAATATAAGTGTAAGGAGTTACTTTGGATATACTTGCTAACGGTGTGGTAGGTTATGCTCCACAGTAATATGCATCTGAGACATAGGCTTATCCTCTGTTTTGGTAGTGGGTCATGCTTTCTGGATGCTTGTTTGTGATGTGTATGTGATGAAAATAATTCAGTGTGTGTCAGAAACAGCTCTGCTATGATCTGTATTAATTTCCTGGACTAGCAGATAAGATAGTAATGTATTTGCAGAACTTTGAAAAGACTGTAACTTTATTTTGAGACTTCTAGACAAAAATAAATGGGAAAGAGAAAGCCATGGTATATTAACTACTCACAGAAGTGATGTGAATAAGTGGGAATTGCAGCAGAATCCGTGTTACTCAAGGATCAAAATGCACAAATTAGGAATTCTATCAGCTTTATTCCTTTGGAGAAGAAGTTCTGCGTGAGACACTACAGGATCTTTAGTATTCAGACCCCACCATTATTTATTTCTTGCTTTCAGAAAAGTAACTGGAAACCAGTATGTAGCCAGCTTTTGGACAATCAGTGCTGACCCAAGAGTGAAAAATACTGCTAAAAATAGCAATTTGTAAGTCCCGAACGAGCTAGGAGTAGCAGGGCTGGGAGCAGATAGTAATATAGTGGATCTTGTTTAGGAAGGATCAAAGACTTGTTTTCCCTGCTGGTGTGTCCTAAAAGTGTTGATGTATCTGACCCTAGTATAGCCTTAATAAACTCATGACTGCAATGCACTTCTTAAGCAGTGTGCAGAATGGCAGTGGATTTTGACCAAGCAGGGGCATAGAATCTTTCACCAGCTTTGATGGAAACAGTATCAGGCCAAGTTTTCTAATGTGGATGGCTTGTAAGAAGGCAAAGGGAGTGTAGAAAAAAAATTATCTCAACTCTTAACTGGCAGTATAGTCTAATAGCTTTGGAGGCAGCATGGCCATGAAGCATTCCAGTGTAGATACAAGCCAATCATACAACCACAACCGGTGAACAGTAGTGCAGTTGTATCTGTAATTCAGAAATATTTAGTATTTTCCAGACAGTGTTTCCATAACACCATTAAACTGCATGATTCTGAAAGTAATCATATATCAGCAAAGTAAAAACAGAGGTCAAAACTAGCCAGGAACTTCAGAAGTTGCTTCAAGATAATATTAGCTACTTCATAAAATGAAGTTTCAGGCAGTGATCAAAGGATTTTA